AGATAGCTCCCTTTTACAACAAAGTCACTTCCACAACAATCCATTAATCCATTCATGGGTTAATGCATTCATGAGGGCAGAGCCCTTACTACTCACTACCCTCCCAAACAACCAACTTATCAACACTGCTACATTGGGGACCAAATTTTCAACGAGTTACTTGTATTTAAAAATTAGAAGTAAAAATCTTGAACAGGCATATTTGAACTGACATGATATATCAATGTGATTCTCAAAAGTCATAAGTACAAACAAGGACTGAAAAGTTGATGTCCCAAATATACCACGAAACACTTTTCTTAGAATTAAGTAATAGGATGATGGATTTCCCTCTAAATCCTTCATTTCACTCTTCTTTAAAACCTTTATGTTGCATTAACTATAAGATAAAATCCATATTACTTACAGAGCATTGAGAGCTCTTTATAATATGGAATTAATGCACATGTCTAGTTTCTTCTCCAGCAACTAAACTGGAATTCATGGTAAGTACAATTTGCTTATGGACTCGTGGCAAAATAAGTTACAGAAACTAATATTTCTGTTCTAAGCTTCATAATTCAGGACATGGAATTGAATGTAAAATTACAATGATAATAAAAACAACATTTTGAGTGCTGTATTGTAAACTCTAGACATATTTACTTATTCATTCTTGTGATACAGTCTTGTTTTGCCCATGTTGTGAGAAGACTGAGTCAGAGATTAAGTCTCTTGCTCAAGATCATATTAAGTAATAAATTGTTAGAATGGGATTCAAACACTAGGTCCACTTAACCTCTCCTCTGTGCTACTTGCAGGCATTATAGTATTGTAAACATTCTTGCAGTGTACAGTGTCAAGAAAGAACAGGATGCTTTCATATAAATTGTGCAATGGAAGGGAAAATGCAGTACCCAAGATTGTTGGTTGACTTGTTGCCCTAAAAAAATGTCTGCCTTGGACCTGTCCCCTTCTTTGTCTCTGTGTTCTTGATCCCTGGTGAGCTCAGAAATGTTCTTTGAATAAATGTTGGTTGATTGGTGGAGTGCAATGGGAATTAGATGTGTTTTTATTTATATATATGTATGTATATGTGTGTGTCAGGAATATTCAAGCTTCTTTAAACTTGGTATTAGAAATCTTAGTTCTTAAAATTTAGCTTCCATATGTAACTCTTAATTGTGGCGTGTTTCCTAGAAATATGTTTTTTAGGCTGTTAAAATAATTAGATTTAAAACCTCACTTATTATTGGGTAGTAATTTCTAAGATTAAAAAGGAGACATCTTAAATGAATAATTCTAATAAGGAAATATATTTAAGTTTAGAGAAAAAGATTTAAATTATTCCTGTTCTTTCTATCACTATTATCTGACACTTTCTCATGAAAACATCTTTGACTTTGCTGATTATTAAAAAATAGCAAATCATGTGAAAGATTGTTTTTTATACACACATTTGAAGAATTGAATTAAGTCCTTTTATAATGTCTAGAATTAGTGTAGTTAAAAGTTTGGGGTATACTTTCATACTTTTTAAATCCATGATATATAAATCTGTATTTTAAATATAAATATCGTCAATAAACATGCACATATTTTAATGTCAGTGCATATAGTTCTTCCACTTTTATGGCTGCTTAACATTCATTATGTAGACCTACATGATGAATTTATTTAACTAACTTTCTGATGGTGTACATTTAGGTTGTTTCTAATTTTTTCCTGTTATAAAATGTAGCACAGTGTACATTTTGTACATATCGTATTACTTGCCCAATAATTTCCTTGCAGTAAATTTCTGGAGGAAAGAAAAACTGTTGAGGCAAAAATATATATTTTGTAATTTCTGAATTTTCCTCTGTCTTTTATGAAATCAAATTACCAGAAGTGTGTATTAGCTTATACTTCTTTCAGCAATGGAAAGTGTTCATTTTGCTACACTTTCTTAGTGCAAATCTGATAGGTAAAATAATAATATCTTTTAATGAGTTAAAACATGATTGCAGTACCTTTAAAAGGATCTGATGACTTGATTTGCATCTTGTTCTGTGGGATTCTATAGTGTTTCAGATATTCAGAATGACAATTTTGAGTCATGAAGTCAGAAGGATAATTGAGTATATGGGCCTAAAACCCCTACACAACAAATATCTTTTCATATACATACTGATTTCTTGAACCTGTGGGAAAGAATGAACCTTAAGAGTTTCTAATAAGCAAAAGAATCATCCTTAACAGTTTCTAACAAGTAAGAATTAATATAAATAGGTACCCTGTATAACTCACTGAAAATAAGTGTAAAATAATATTTATTTTCTTCATTTATTATACTTGTCATCTCTTTCTCAATTTTTTCTGCATGATTGCTTTCTAAGGAGGCTTTTTAGATATTTCCCCCTAACTGTCCCCACTGTGACATTTGGATAACATATAAATATATTACCCCATAGGGTAATGCTGCTCTTATTAGCATGCCATATATGTATGCACTTGTATTGATATTTGGGGGAAAAGCAGAAAAAGCTTTGCTCTGCATGAATAGTTACTTTGGTTTCGTGGGGCTCAAAGAAAATGTCAGTATTCTGTAACTTATCAGTTGTCCAAAGGGAACATTAGGTTTAATAATTGCCACTGTTACTTTAACCAGCCCGTTGTTAAACTCTAAACATATGCCTTGGACTACCTAAGTTTTCTAGAATATTCAGACACAGTATTTCCATTCTTAGGAAAATTAATATGCAGAGGGCACAGTGAAATTATTGTGATTGGAGACATTTTATTGAATTTAGGGAACAGTATTGTTAGGAGTAATAGTAATGCATTAGAAGTAATAATAAATGTTCAAACCTCTATCCCAGTGGTTTTTAAACCTCTGTCCCAGTGGTTTTTAATTCCATGAGGATGTTTACAATGTCTGGGAGCCATCTTTAAAAAATAATCCAAGTAACATTACTGGGATTTTGGTATATGTATTTTTTAAATGGGACATATATATAATTATGAAAAATGGGTAACAAACTTAACTCTTTAAATCTTAGGAAGAGATTTGGTTGACTGTGTCAGGACTTAAATGAATTTCAGGAACACTAAAGAATTGAAAATTAACTTATCCATTTTGGCAATTCTTTATATAACACCCTTCAACTTACTTTTGCCCACTTTGGATTGAGGTATACTAAAAAAAGATAGCAGTCTTAGAAGAAAAAAATGCATTTTATGTCTTTGGAGAAAAAAAAATGGGTATGGTGAGTGTTCTTTATATTCTGTTTTTCTTTGTTCTTGAAATATTACAATATCACATTTTAAATGTAAACGTACTTTTCTTTTGAAATTTTGTACATCTATGAACTGAGGCCAATATATAAAGATTTTTGTAGTTGTCATAAATTAACAATATGTATATAATAAAATAGCAGTGAATGACTTCATTATTACCACAACTAGTAAACTACAGCAAATAAAATTATTTCCAAAGGTCTTTTCTCTTTCTGAAAGTATCAGAAAGGTGAATGGTTCTTGCTGTTATTCAAGCAATTATTGGGGTGATAGAGTATGATTTGCAATTCTACAAGATGACAAGTCGGTGCTCCTTTTTTCCCCCGTATGAGTTAACATGGAAAAATAAGTGTATTTAGAAAGAAACCATATTATTTATTAAGAGTAACAAAATCAGCTTATGTTTTTATAAAGAAAGAAAATAATATTACATATACCTCTTAGTACTAATATTAGGCTGTATGCCTGTTTTACAGATACGGAACATTGTCAAGTGTTTTGTTTTGGAAGAATTATTTCAATCTAGTAATGGTTGCGTCTGCATTCAGAATTTTGCCTCTGCATTCAGAATTTTTTTTAAGTTGTTTTCCTTGTGAGATTTTAGACATCTGACCTTTGGAGTAGTGAAAGTGTGGTTTTTGACATTGTTCTATTAAAAAAAAAAAATCCGTAACATGATTGTTTCTTGTATAAGTGCACTTTTAGTATAAATATAATCAAAGATATTTTTCTCTGACTTATGCCAGAAACAGACTCATTATTAAACAAAACTATATTCAGATCTGTGATAACTTGCTGTAATGGAGGGAATATTGCTTGGGTTTATGGTATTATTATCTGACAAAAATTGATTAGGTCATACAGATACTTGGTGGAAGGTGACACCTAGCTTGCATTAAAAGAAAATTATTTTAGGTTTGGGGGCTTTGCTTCTAAGAGGTAGATATCAAAAAGTCACTGATTGTGGCTTGGAGGAGATGTTGCCAGCTATTCACTTGCCAATAAGTTGTTCTTCTAAGGCAGGAAAACACTGTGTAAAAGATATCGTTACACTATATGAAGATATAAATTTCTATAGTGGATTCAGTGTTTGAGCATTAGATTTCTTTTAAAAGGGACTGGTATAGTATCACTAAATTTAAATTTGTTAAATAGGACATATAGTCATTTTTCTAAAATCAAGTATTTTTACTGTTGACCTTGTATCAAACTAAAGTTTTCACCTAAAAGCATAGAAACTCTAGCTCTGAGTGCATTTTGCTTAGCAACCAGCTTGTTGTCTACTGTTTTGCTATTGAATGCACGTACTCATGCCTGAGAAATATATCTGCAGCCAGCTGGACTCAACTGGACAATACTTCATTCACCTAATTTCCAGACTAGTCAGGCAAAGACATCAGCTCATTGTATTTAGTCATGAGGAAATTTATTTGTAAACTTCAAGTAGTAGCACATGGATCTCAAAAGCCTCTGAATATGAGAAAGGCCTTCTAGTTCAGGAATGTGAAGTCCTTGGAATTCAGAAATGCTTCACTTTTTTTCCTCTTAATAATGCTTCCAAGTATATTATTTTAAAATACATAGCTTCTAAAATCCTAGAAAAGTGCAAGTATCTCCTAATAGGAAAGAGAGTTTAAATTCTAAGAATAACTTTAGAATTGGCCTCAGTATTCAAAATTCTTCATTTGTGTTTAAACTTTAATTATCTACCTTGATCCTCACATGGTCATTTTCTCTCCTAGAAAACAAAAGTTTTGTTGGCATGTAAAGCTCCAGTTTCCTCAAAGTCAAGCTGAATACATAGAAAAACGGTATAGTATAACCACTTTCTATTAAGAACCAATTTGTTTTTATTTTAAGGCTCTGTAATTACAATAAACTGTTAACTAAGCATATGTCTGGCAGAATGAATAACTTGTGGTATGTCATACAATGAAATACTAAACAGCACTGCAAATAAATGAGCTCTGGCTGTGCACATCAACATGAGTGAATCTCAGAAAATATGTTGAGTGAGAAGTGCAAGTCAAGTTCAGGAAGAATGCATAGACTATGAGAAGAAAACAAAAAACCTCCCCCAAACTGAATAGCGTATTTTTCAGGAATACCAACATAGGTGGAAGAACTCTAAGAGAAATGATTTAACATAAAAATCAGAAGAATGCAAGGCTGAAAATGTTGTTTCTTAGACTAAGTGGTTGTATAGGAAATGAAAAGTGACCCAAAATTGTAGTATGCAGAGTTTATTACTATTCACATTATAGTATATTCTTCAAAAAATACATTATTTTAGACATGTGTCTGTAGTCATAATTGGGATTAATTTGCATGAAGTTTGTTGTCCTGCTTTTTCAGATTAGGAATGTATTTAAACTGTTATTCAAAATTTTAATGATTGTGCTATTCGATTCCTTGGTTTAGGAGAGTTTTAAAGTTGCTGTTTAAGTAGTATATTTAGCATATGTCCACATTATACACAATGTCCTTTCTTTGTAATTGGGTTTTAGTGAAGAACTTTGCTATTTGAAGCTGCATGCCAAAGAGAAAGGACTTATTTTATAGATAGGAATATGTAGCCAGTAGTATAAATGGATATGTGGAAGTGGTTGAGGAAGGGTTATTGTGTCAAAAATATCTTAATTTTGTTTATAAAGCTTTACATGTAAGTTTAAAATAGTGTGCAATAGGAAAGTTGGAAAACTTAAAATACTTTAATTCCAGAAAAATTATTATAAACTTTTTAACCTGGCCTTATGATTTAGAATGATAACTTGAACATGCACTAAAATTAGCATATTCTGAAACCATTCTTGAATTTATTTTTTATTTCTAAAAGTTTCAAATATATTACATATTGACTTCTCTTTTTTTTCCCCTGTTTGAGCACAGGTGTGTTAAAAGAGGCTTCATATTTTTATAATTAATTTACAAGGAGCTTTTCAAAATGTTTTTTTAAAGACCTTGTTAAATATACCCAAGAAGTCTTTTGTAGCTTTTTTCCTATGTAATTTTTGCTTGACAGGATATTATATTTTGCCCAGAATAAAGTAAAAGTTTTTGTTCAATTATTTAAACAATAACAAAATACCCACAACATTTAGTAATTCTAAGTTAACACCTTTTACAGCAAATTATAAATAATAATCTAGCTGTTTTCCTTTTCTTTATTGAAAAGAGTACCAGAGGATAAAACTATTAATGAAATTCTAAAACCTTACATTGATCCTGAAAAGTCTGATCCTGTTATTCGTCAAAGGTATGTTTAAAAACTCCTATTAACTGTTTGAAGTAATTAAAAGTGTTGAAGTATATTTTAGTTGCATATTTATTATGGAAAGCTATGGCTATATCGGGGCATGATATGTTGGTGCAATTTACTTTTCCTTGCAATTTACTATTTCCTTGGTGTTTGCTGAGATTCAGTCCATATAAGTAACATCAGTAGCTAACACTCATTATTTACTGTGTCCTGGACACTCTTCAAAGCAGATAATAATAAACATGCTAACTCATTGAATTCTCACAATATCCTTGTATGGTAGACTAGAGGTATTATGCCCCTTTTAACATACTGAGCAAATTTAAAGTGGTTAAGTAAACTTGGACAACTAATAAGCATGAAAGCTGGGGATTTCAAACCATCAGTCCAGATTCTGAATCTGTACTCTTAACCTTTAAACTAAGCTGCCTTTCAAGTTGAACCAAAGACTCTGAAAATTAAGACTTTCCAAGTAACTATTAAACACAGGAAATCCTGCTTCAGCCAAGTCTTCATAGAACTTAGTAAGGTACACTCTGCCTCCTATCCAGAAATACAGTATGGACAAAAGTAGTTAACATAGCATAGTGGAAAGATTCAGTCATGGATATCCAAATTAAAATAGCTGGCTCTGTCCCTTATTAACTGTGTGATCAGACTAAATTACCTAACTTCCATGCTTTTAATTTTTCCATCAATGAAATAAGAATGGTAATACACACTAGATAGGGTTGTTATGAACCTTAAAAAAATAGCACATTCAGAGTTCCTAGTACAGGACCTAGCATATAGTAGGCAGTGCTTAAGAAAGGAAACTATTATTGGTGTATGAGTTATTAGTGCTCCTGGGCAGGAACCCAGTTGACTTTATTTTCACCAGATGGTACTTGCTTTGAATATGAATGCTTGGATTGTGCCAGAGTAATTTGGTATTCAAAATTTGAACTGTAGATTCTAAAATGTCTGATCTGGTCCATTTCTAATTAAGCCTCATATTTCTTTTTTTTTTTCTAGGAATAACTTCATTTAGGATTCTTAGTTGGTTGCATGTAGATGAAAATTCCTGAAAACCCACTTGAACAATAATTTCAAGCACAGTATACTCACAGATTATATACATTTGCCAAGGCCATTTTAAGAGCTTAAATATTTTGCAAACTTTACCAAGACATATAGTTAATGAATTTCCAGAATGTGCCTTACAAATACCATTGAGTTAGAAAAGGAATCAGTGATTCTACAAATCAATATAATTATCATACTTTCAAAGCATATTGCATAAAGCCTAGATTTAAGAACTGTAAAGAAAAAATAGAACATTAATTTCCATTGGAATATTCATGGACTCAAAACCTCTCTCTCATTTCCAAATTTCTGAGGTTTTTCTCTTAGTTACTCTTCCTGCTTCCACTTTCTTCTTTTTTTTTTTTAATTGGTTGTTCAAAACATTACAAAGCTCATGATATATCATCTTTCATACATTTGACTCAAGTGGGTTATGAACTCCCATTTTTACCCCAAATACAAATTGCAGAATCACATCGGTTACACACTCAACATTTTTACATAATGGCACATTAGTGACTGTTGTATTCTGCTACCTTTCCTATCCCCTACTTCCCCCCCCCTCCCCTCCCATCTTCCCTCTCTACCTCATCTGCTGTTGTTCAGTTCTCTCCCTTGTTTCCCCCCCCATTTCCCCTCAAAACCTCTTATATGTAATTTTGTGTAACATTGAGGGTCTCCTACCATTTCCATATGATTTCCCTTCTCTCTCCCTTTCTCTCCCCCCACTCGTCTCTGTTTAATGTTAATCTTTTCCTCATGCTCTTCCTCCCTGTTCTGTTCTTAGTTGCTCTCTTTATATCAAAGAAGACATTTGGCATTTGTTTTTTAAGGATTGGCTAGCTTCGCTTAGCATAATCTGCTCTAATGCCATCCATTTCCCTGCAAATTCCATGATTTTGTCATTTTTTAGTGCTGCGTAATACTCCATTGTGTATAAATGCCACATTTTTTTATCCATTCATCTATTGAAGGGCTTCTAGGTTGGTTCCACAGTCTAGCTATTGTGAATAATGCCGCTACGATCATTGATGTGGCAGTATCCCTATAGTATGCTCTTTTAAGATCCTCAGGGAATAGTCCGAGAAGGGCGATAGCTGGGTCAAATGGTGGATCCATTCCCAGCTTTCCCAGGAATCTCCATACTGCTTTCCAAATTGGCCTCACCAATTTGCAGTCCCACCAGCAATGTACAAGTGTACCCTTTTCCCCACATCCTCGCCAACACTTATTGTTGTTTGACTTCCTAATGGCTGCCAATCTTACTGGAGTGAGATGGTATCTTAGGGTGGTTTTGATTTGCATTTCTCTGACTGCTAGAGATGGTGAGCATTTTTTCATGTACTTGTTGATTGATTGTATGTCCTCCTCTGAGAAGTGTCTGTTCAGGTCCTTGGCCCATTTGTTGATTGGGTTATTTGTTTTCTTATTTTTTAATTTTTTGAGTTCTTTGTATATTCTGGATATTAGGGCTCTATCTGAAGTGTGAGGAGTAAATATTTGTTCCCAGGATGTAGGCTCCCTATTTACCTCTCTTATTGTTTCTTTTGCTGAGAAAAAACTTTTTAGTTTGAGTAAGTCCCATTTGTTGATTCTAGTTATTAACTCTTGGGCTATGGGCGTCCTATTAAGGAATTTGGAGCCCGACCCCACAGTATGTAGATCGTAGCCAACTTTTTCTTCTATCAGACGGCGTGTCTCTGATTTGATATCAAGCTCCTTGATCCATTTTGAGTTAACTTTTGTGCATGGTGAGAGAAAGGGATTGAGTTTCATTTTGTTGCATATGGATTTCCAGTTTTCCCAGCACCATTTGTTGAAGATGCTATCCTTCCTCCATTGCATGCTTTTAGCCCCTTTATCAAATATAAGAAAGTTGTAATTTTGTGGATTGATCTCTGTGTCCTCTATTCTGTACCATTGGTCCACCTGCCTGTTTTGGTACCAGTACCATGCTGTTTTTGTTACTATTGCTCTGTAGTACAGTTTGAATTCTGGTATTGCTATACCTCCAGATTCACACTTCCTGCTTAGAATTGCTTTTGCTATTCTGGGTCTTTTATTTTTCCATATGAATTTCATGATTGCTTTAAGCCTCATATTTCAACTTTTGATAAAAAATATTGTTCAAACTGATCCAGACTCAAGTAACATTTCAAGCAGTATTGATAGTTGAGTTTCTTTCTTTATAATTGATAATCTACTTGTCATCGTTAGTCATACACTTGGCAGTAAGTCAAAATACCTGTCACTAAATTGGATACATTTGAGCAAAAGTATGTGTAAAATAGCTGTTATTATTTTTACACATGTTTGTTGAAGCAGGTATTTTTTAATTTAAGATGTTTAATTGAACAAAGAGAAGAAAAGTAATTATTTTTCAGATCCTTGGTTAAGAAACATCTTTACTTCTTTTCTGTGCTTGGATTGATGAATTTTTAAGTATTATTAGCTGTTCATAAATGCTTAGTCTTTATAAAAACTGTCTTGAAAAGTACTAAAAATTAATTTTGCTTTCTTCAATATGATGTTTTTATTTCAGGTTGAAAGCCTACATTCACTCTCAGACTGAGGTCCAAATTTTAATGAAGGTTGAATATATGCAGCAAAACCTAGTAAGGTAAAGTTGCTCCCTCCCCATTTCTTTAAATATTTTTTAATTCTGTGATATAATTAATTACCTTGATTACCTTACATAGCTAGTTGTAAAATTATCTGCCTGTCAACCTAGACTTATAAAAATAATTTTCAAGTAGACCTGGTGCACATACCTGTAATCCTAGCCACTGGGATAGACTGAGGCCAGAGTATTGTAAATTAGAAGTCAGCTTCAGCAGTTTATCGAGACCCTATCTCAAATTTTTAAATAAATAAATAAATAGAACTGGGAATGTAGCTCAGTGATAAAGTGCTCTGGGTTTAATTTCTAGTACCTAATAATAACTTTCAAATTAAGATTCTTAAATATTAGACTTACAATTGTAAATTTGATTGAAAAATAAACCTAGTTAGAATATTTCAAAATATTAGTTACAACTAAAAGATTTCTAAATTTCATCTTAACTTACTTCAAGAAATGTTCTATAATATGACATTTGATGAGTTCCAATTTTCAAGACTTTAGAAATAAGAAAACATGCTGGACTAACCACTGAATATATTGTAGTTTGAAGAATACTGCACAGAAATGTGAAGAAAGCAGCATTCCAGCAAACTATGACTTGAGAAAGTTAATAATACCTTCAGGTTTTGTTCATTATTAATGGGATGATAAATTAGACTGAGACTCTTCACAAAGTGTACCTAAATGCCAGTTATATGTCAGCATATTGAATTGCAGAACACTGATCTTTACAGACATGTGTTTCCCATTGTTTAATTAACAAAAGCACTAGATTAATTTGATAGATCTGGTCAGTTTCTTCTATGATATGATTTGCTAGTTTAGTTTAGATGTTGAAGAGTTCAAGCTATGAAAGCATCACTGGATTTGGATCCCAGCTTCACCTTTTTCTAATTATGTTAACTTGAGTTAATTACACTTGCCTTAGTTTCCTTTTCTCTAAAATTGAAATAACAAAGTTTATCATGAAAGAAACACATGATAAATGCATGTTTTTATTATTACTAGTGTTATTACCAATACTGTTATTTCTACTGTTGTTACTGATAGATGTATTCTTATAAAAGATCTGCATGTTAAGATTAGAAGATTCTATAAGGCTAAGGCCAGCTTGGGCAACTTAGTGAGACCCTGTCTCAAAAAAAAAAAAAAAAAAGCAATTGTCCTAAATTATAATAAAATACTTCAAATTATAACAAAAGGACTCAGGAAAGTATGTTTTAAGGACGGAAGCTCTATTAAGAAAATTTTAACCATTAATAAAATGAAATATTTTTTAAAAAAGACTTATAGCTAACAAAGGATCTTAAAAACCACATCTGACCACTTTTCTTACCAACGTATCTCAGATCCTCCAACTTTATATCATTCATCATGGTTCTCTAATAAAAAATTCAAATTATCTATCATATGGTTCTTTCTGTATGCCTCTCAATTCAATATATTTACATGTAGTTTGTGGTCCTTTCCTTCTTCATGCCGAATCCCAAACAAGAGAAAATAAGTTTCTGCAAAGATAGTTACCCAGAGTTAAAACGTCCATGTTAACCAAAGTCAGTAGTTCTTAAATTGGGACTCAAGCACTTAGGTAATTAACAATAAATACTGGTATAAAGGATAACATTGTTTCAGTTTTTAGTAAAATCACAAAAGGAATTCCATATAACTCATTTTTTATTTTTAATTTTTTATTGTTTTAATTAGTTATACATGACAGTAGAATGCATTTATGCGCTCTGATATATCATACATGGATGGGATATAATTTCTCACTTTTCTGAGAATATATGTTGTAGAATCACATTGGTCATGCAGTTATCTATATACATAAAGTAGTAATGTCTGTCTCTTTCTACCATCCTTCCTATCTCCTCCACTCCCCTCCCTTCCCTTCCCTTCCCTCTACCTAATCTAAGGTAACTCTAGTCTTCTCTTGTGCCTCCCCGCCACATTGTGAATTAGCATCTGCATATTAGAGAAAACATTGGGTTTTTGGTGTTTGGGGATTGGCTTATTTTGCTTAGAATGATATTCTCCAACTCAGTCCATTTACCAGCAAATGCCATAATTTCATTCTTCTTTAAAGCTGAGTAATATTCCATTGAATATATATACCACATTTTCTTCATACATTCATCTACTGAAGGATACCTAGGTTGGTGCCATATTTTAACTATTGTGAATTGAGCTGCTGTAAACATTGATGTGGCTGCATCACTGTAGTATGCTGATTTTAAGTCATTTGGGTATAAATTAAGGAGTAGGATAGCTGGGTCATATGGTCTTTCCATTTCAGGTTTTCTGAGGAATTTCCATACTGCTTTCCATAGTTGTTATACCAATTTGCAATCCCTCCAGCAATGTATGAGTGTGCCTTTTTCACCACATCCTCATCAACATTTATCGTTTCCTATATTCTTGATGATTGCCATTCTGACTGGGATGAGATGAAATCTTAGTGACTTAGTTTTGATTTGAATTTCTCTAATTGCTAGAGGTGTTGAACACTTTTTCATATATTGGTTGATTGTATTTCTTCTGCGAAGCATCTGTTCAGTTCCTTAGCCCGTTTATTGATTGGGTTATTTGTTTATTGGGTGTTAAGTTTTTTGAGTTCTTTATATATTCTAGAGATTAATGCTTTATTGGAGGTGCATGTGGTAAAGATTTTCTCCCAGTCTGTAGACTCTCTCCTCACATTATTGATTGTTTCCTTTGCTGAGAAGAAGCTTTTAAATTTGAACCCAGTTCATTTATTGAGTCTTGATTTTACTTCTTAAGCTTTAGGGCTCTTGTTAAGGAAGTCAGATCCTAGGCCGACATGGTGAAGATTTGGGCCTATTTTTTCTTCTGTTAGGCACAGGGTCTTTGTTCTAGTGCCTCAGTCTTTGATCCACTTTGAGTTGATTTTTGTGCAGGGTGAGAGATAGAGGTTTAATTTCATTTTGCTACATATGGATTTCCAGTTTTGCCAGTACCGTTTGTTGAATAGGCTATCTTTTCTCCATTGAATGTTTTTGGCATCTTTGTCTAGTACGAGATAACTATATTTGTATGGGTTTGTCTCTGTGTCTTCTATTCTGTACCATTGGTCTACATGTCTATATTGGTACCAATATCATGCAGTTTTTGCTACTATAGCTTTGTAGCATATTTTAGGTTTGGGATTGTGATGCCTCCTGCTTCATCTTCATGCTAAGGATTGTTTGGGCTATTCTGGGTCTCTTATTATTTTTCCAAATAAATTTCATTATTGCTTTTTCTATTTCTATGAAGAATGTCATTGGGGTTTCAATAGGAAGTGCGTTAAATCTGTATAATGCTTTTGGTAGTATGGCCATTTTGACATTATTAATTCTGCCTATCCAGGAGCTTTGGGGATATTTCCATATAATTCATTTTTAAATTGAAAGATTTGCCTGCTTCTCTTTAAATTGACTTTTGGTAAATCATTAAATAATTCTATTCTCTCTTGTTTTATTTTCCGTGTTTCTTCTTCAAGTTCAGTTTCTTTCTTAACATGGAACATATTTTATCTACTTAGTTCATTTAAGTGTTACTCGTGTTTTATACCATGGTGCGCGTTTGATGAGTATAGTACAGCTTCAGTCTCATAAGTCTACTAAGAAAATATTTCTGATGGTCTTTATAAAAAATAAAATAGCTTTTTAGTTAGTTGTTTCATTTTCTCTAAGCTATAAAACTAATATATACTCTTCTAGTCTTTTCCTGACAACCTGGTGACAGTCTCTGTCTAGTCGTTTTGAATACTGCTATACCACTCTGAACATTTGCCAACTCCTTGTCATATAGACTGCAAGTCTATAAGAATAACATAAATGGCTCAGAAGGAATGTAGAAGGAAGACAGTATAAATGTTGTCCAAATTGGATGATGAAATTTTATTCTTTTATGTTTCATGCGTGTAATTTTCGTTATAAAGATATTCCTCCGTTTTGTTTTAAGAAAATAGGACAATTTAAGGAACTTTTTACTCATAAGAGCAGTAAGGAGAATAAAACCTAATGCCTCATTGTTTCCTTTTAATGTGTTTATCTGTTCTTAAATAATTGCAAATAGCAGTCATCAGGTATTAATTTAATGACTATATGGATAATTGTTTCTTTTTTTAATTAATAGACATGTATTTGAAACACCTTACTCACTTTTTAAAATTATTTATTTATTTATTTATGGTTTAGTTGTTGATGAACCTTCATTTATTTTTATGTGATGCTGAGGATCGAACCCAGTGCGAGTGCACTCACACATGCTAGGCAAGCGCTCTATCAATAAGTCACAACCCCAGCCAGCTTACTCTTAAAGAAACAAATAATATCTATTTTGGTCAGTTTGGGTGCCCATTTGACCACAGTCACCATATTTACCTGTTCTCTTAGGTATTTCAACTTCTGTCTCAAAGCTGAGGAAAGCAATAATTTATATTATTTTTATATAATTTCAAAGAAGAAAAATTTTGTTTTTTTTCTTTTGGTTTTGTTGGTCTGGTTGGTTAATTGGTTATTTTCTTTTGCTGATTGTTTTCATTTTAATTCTTCCTTTAACTGAAAATGGAGGTTTGTTATATGTCCATGTCAGTCAAGACAGATTGAACTGTGGCTAATGAAGAAATATGTCAGCTCACAAAGCCAGTCAGACTTGACCCTGGTAGATTATACTCTTCTTCCAAAACTCAAGGAAATCAAAATTTGTATGCATACTTAGGTTAGAGTACAGGACCGACTACTTGGAGTCCAGAGAGTATTTATTTTTAGTTTAAAAATGTGTACTATACCCAGTGGCTTGGGAAACTGAGGCTGAAGGATCATGAGTTCAAGCCAGTTTCAGCAACTTAGCAAGACTCTTGTCTCTAAATAAAAAATATAAAAAAGGACTGGGGATGTGGCTCAGTGATTAAGCACCCTTGGGTTCAATCTCCACTACCAAAAAAAAAAAAAAAAAATGTGTACTATGCATCTCTGAAGCAACAGAGGATG